AAGATAGTGAAAATATGCAAAAGTTTCTATTTAGACTGTTGTAAAGATAAAAATGCACTTAAAGTAAGTAATTATTGTTTAACAATAATCATTACAATAGCAATATCTTCATTATTAATCACTACATAACAATCTATTTATTATTCGGAGAGGGTCTAAAATGCCCTTCAAGTATTTGAATTGGTACAAAATTACCCTTCATCCACCTATCAGCCCTAAAATACTATTGACATCCACCTTTCGGTTCAAAAATACCCTTGATGTTAATCATTTGACTCATATTTGCCCTTATTTTTAATAGCTCCCTTAAAGTAAAATTATTAAATAATTTATTTATTATATTGCTTAATGTGATCGGTCCAAATTTAAACCCTTCTCAAATAAATAATAAAAATGATATTTTTAAAAATTCTAATTTTCTATAAAACCACTTATGTTTTATATTTTGACTCGATACACTTGAAAAAAATATTGAAAAAATAATTAATTTCATGATATCTTCCTATTGGCCTATTTTAAATCGACCCCAATTTATTATAACGTAACCCAACTCATAAATGGGAATCCAACTAAAATCCATACTTACCCCGACTTATTGTTCATCTAAAAAAAAATTATTTTCATTGATATAAAATTTTCTCTCAATTATCAAAATGTCTTGTTCATTTTTTCTTTTATTCTTAATTAGGATATCTGAGACTCAAACTTGAAATGAAATCACATATTTATATTCTTTTAATTAGTATTATTGTCACGATGGGATGAGGGTGGGGATAAGAGAAATGATTATTTTTATTAATTTATTTTAATTTTGGGTACACACAAAAGAAAAATGTAATATTTGTACATATTTGCTTAATTGAGTCATCTTTTATTGAACTAATTATTTCTATATGAATGCATCATTATTTTCCTCTTTTTTTCTCTCTTGTTTGTCATAAATTGAAAAATAAAAATAAAATGGTGGACAAGATCCAAATAGAAAAAAAATGAAAGAGATAGGAAGTGAAGGGCCAGGGAGGGAAGAGTAGAGAGTAGACGCATAACCTTTTTATAATATTAAATTTACTATGAAATTCAAAATCAAGTCAATCATGTGGGCTTATATATTAAGTAATTTCAAATTATTTTAATGGAAAAGGGCCTAAAATTCCCTTAAACTATGAGATTTGATACAATATTACCCTCTATCCACCTAATGAGTATGATGCGTTAGACATAAGGATATTTTTGAGCTAAAAGGTGGACGTTAGGGGTATTTTAGAGCCGATAGGTGGATGGAGGGTAATTTTGTACCAATTCAAATATTTTAGGGGCATTTTAGGCCCTTCTCCATTTATTATTAATTACTCCACTACTGATTACCACATTATAATCCCCACAAATTATGTGAACTAAACGCCCCTCTCGGTCTTTCTTTTATTTATTATACATCAAAAAAATTATCCAATCATCACTTATCTAATCCTACTATTAAATTATGGAGTTTAATTAAGTTATTTAAAGATTTCTTTTAAGAACAAATCTCACATATGGTGGCAGATTTATTTTATTTTGAAAATTATAAATGTCAAATTTTTAAGAAGTTTTTTTTCTTTAATGGTATAAATTCTGTTTGTGTAGTGATAGTGACCACATATATAATTTAAACTCTATCAATAGGTACTTATTTATGGTTTATTTTAGAGAATTGAGGCGACTTTTGAGTAATATCTAATATTATTTAAAAGCTAAACTTTTCTCTTTTCTTAAAATAAAAAGATACTACTTTTGAAGCATTGTACAAATACAAATTAGTGTTCTAACATTAATTAATTACACAAGAGTAATTTTTCAAAAAGCGGTGACTCAAACGAAGGTTAAATAGTCAACCAACTGAGTTATTATGATTTCGTATTTACATATTAGAAGGTTGAATTATGCTGACTAACGGGACCCAACGCTAACGAATGGCAACGAATCATATCCTTATCCCGCGAGATTCCACACTATCATCAACTACCTTCCGACCACCACCAAATTTAGCTCTAACTCAACTCCAACTATTATGGCTTTCTCCTCGCCGCTGTTTTCTCCGGTTAACTTCGCCTTAAACCCTAATCCCCAACTCCATCATCCTAAATGCACAAAGCCAAACAACCGCCGGAGCTTCTCCGTCTGCGCCATTCCGCCGCTCTCCACCGCCACCGACATCTCCGCCGTCACAGGTCCGTTGGACGGAACGACTATCGCCGTACTTGGCGGTAGTTCCGTGGCGGCACTTGCTGCTATTCTCTCGCTCGCCGACCCCGAGCGCCGGCGGCAGCTTCAGGCGGAGGAGGTCGGCGGCGGTGATAAGGAGGTGGTGAGAGAGTATTTCAATAACAATGGGTTCCAGAGGTGGAAGAAGATATATGGTGATACGGATGATGTGAATAAAGTGCAGTTGGATATAAGATTGGGACATTCAAAAACTGTTGAAAATGTGATGAAAATGTTGACGGAAGAGGGATCTCTGCAGGGAGTTACTGTATGTGACGCCGGTTGTGGGACCGGTTGTTTGTCGATTCCGTTAGCTAAGGAAGGTGCCATTGTATCAGCTAGTGATATTTCAGCTTCCATGGTAGCTGAAGCCCAAAAACAGGTGATCTTTGTCGAATTCAAGCTTATTCGCTAAATAATTGCTGCAGATTCGAAATTTTATGTCTGTGGATGTGTAGATTACCTCATAGTTGATTTATTATAAGTACTTCATACAACAACAACATTACCAGTGTAGTCGGGGTATGGGGAGAGTGAAGTGTACGTATACCTTATCCCTATCTCAGAGGTAGAGTTGTTGTTTCCGATAGACCCTGGGATCAAGAAATTATAAGTACTCCAATAATCTTAAGAAAAATTTTCGTATATGTTTAAAATAATACTCCCTTTGTCTCACTGTTTGACCGTAAAAATTAAACTTGTGATCTAAAACATGTCAACAGAAAGTTTAAAATTAAATTGCTACTAAATCTTGAAAGGTGAAATTGGGACAGACCTGAAAGGAAAGCGTGCTACATAAATTAGGACAGAGGAAGTAGTTTGAGTCGAAGGTTCAGTCGAAGGTTCAAAGAGTTGGATCTGCCTATGCTGCTGCATCACAGTTTGAGTAGTGGTAGAATAAGAAATTTGTTTCGGCTTCTCTTAGGTTGAACAAACTTAATTACAGTGCGGGAAATGCAATATCTTAAAGGCCTGTACCTCTTCTTTTCACCAGCAGCTTTTATGTTATCTTTGGAGTGTATCTTAGCTTTCAAGAAGAGCCCTTGATTCGTCTTAAAGAAAGAAACTTGTTTTTGAATGTAATTGGTATTAAGATTATGGCTTTTTTGGAGTTGAGAACTGAACAATACTTCCTAATCTTAATGAAGGCGCAAGAGGAGTTGTTCAAGGGTAAGGATGACCAATCCCTGGCACCAGTAATGCCAAAATTTGAAGTGAAGGACTTGGAGAGTTTGGATGGGAAGTATGACACTGTGGTTTGCTTAGATGTTATGATACACTACCCACAAAGTAAGGCTGATGGTATGATTGCTCATCTTGCATCATTGGCTGAGAATCGCTTGATCCTGAGCTTTGCCCCGAAGACATTTTATTATGATTTGTTAAAAAGAATTGGAGAGTTGTTCCCTGGACCTTCAAAGGCTACACGAGCATATCTACATGCAGAGGCTGATGTGGAGAGGGCACTGCAAAAAGCTGGGTGGAAGATAAAGAAGAGAGGCTTGATCGCCACACAATTTTACTTTGCAAAGCTTATTGAAGCTGTCCCTGCTTAGGATTGAAAGGCAAGTGAGATCTCATTTGTTTGGCAATGTTTCTTCACTGCTGGTTAGATATTAGGAAGTCCGTTGAGTGTTTATTATGAATGCGTTATTTCACTTTTTCAGTTTCTAACTTGTATAATAGTTTACAATGTATCTGGATTCTGCTTCTGACTTGGAAAATTTTTGTCGATATTATTAATATATTATGAAATGTAAATTTAATCATCATTTGGTGGCTTTGATTCATTCGTTTTCATCCTTAACTTTTGTGGTTTCCTGTCAGCAGCTCTGCCACGTTTTTTCCTCAAATAATGCTTGATGGTTGTGAAATCCAATCCTTCATTTTTAGTCATGAAAACTATAAGATAGTGCTATTAATGGAATGGCGTTAAGCATTTGGTATAAAAATGGAGATAATGTCATATAAATTGGAGTAAACAGAGTAGAATTCACTATCAAGTAATCCAGTTTACTAATGAAGCTTTTCAAACATAGCCTCTCCCCCCTATGATTTAATTTTAAGAAATGGATACTTGTCTGTGAATTTCTAATGGTCTAATTGAGGACCACTCAACCTTTCTTATGGCATATCATTCATCTTGTTTATTTCTAATACAACCTAAAAAGGAAGAAAAAGCAAAGAATTACACTCTGTTCTCTTGCTAAGTGTTTGCTTTTCATGTCATTATCATCAGTTTTTCAGATAGACTGGTGCTTGTTAAATTCATCACTGGAGAGACTGTCAATTCATAGTCGAAGGCAGATGTAAATAAAATCTTATGGTTGTCAAAAAGATTTGAAGATTCAGAACCAAGTACCAGCAACTAACCAGACATCATAATCACTGTCAAGAGCAATGATAGTCGATAAACATTCAAAACCTACTTCTTACTTAATCTAAAACAAAAATAAATCAAGGTACTGCATTACATCTTATCAGCAACTCTTGCTACTGCATCAGCTACCTTATTGAGAACAGCAATCAAGCTATTAGTTTGTTCCTTCTGCTGCTCCCTGTCCCGTTGACGATTTTCCATTTGAGCATCAAGTTGTGAATGAAGCATGTTGGTGTTTTGCTCCAGAGTTTTCAGCAGTTTAGATCCCAGATTACTATCAATACAACCATCTGGTGATAGTCTTCTTTTCTTCACTCTGTCCTTAAACATGGGGCTATTCCAGAAATCTGATCCAGGCTGCTCGCCTTCAGCTGAACAATACAGAGGAATGTACTTTACTGTTTCAATCTTTACGGTGTAGCATTCAACTAATCACAGATAAGTTCTGATGATAAAAAGTTAGTTAACTTCTGTGTTGAGGTTTTGTTTGAGAGAAAAGCAAGTTTTGAAGGACGTTTACCTGATCTAGGCACTGGAGAGGGAATGGACTTAGCTTTTTTGTCTATGACGATGTGTTCCTTCAGTGGGCTGCTTCCAACTTCCTCCGCTGCTGGAGGCATAACATCGTCTTCCATAGTATATTCCCCAGTATGAGAAACATTGTCATTCTCTTCCTCTCCCTCTTCCGCTTCCTCTTCTTCAACTGTTTCTACACCATAGTCAAGTTTTTCATCTGTGGTTATGGTTACCAGAGCTAGTTGGTATGCTTCTGCTGTGAATTCCTTCCCATCCAAGACATTGTAGACTTCTCTATCAAAAGAACCTGGTAGCCTTTTCTCTCGCCTGAGATCGTTACTGATAATCCAATAAGATTCACTGCTTCCATTTGTCTGTGTCTCCCATGTTTTAATTTTCTTGAAATCACTGATCATGTTGCTCCAACGTTTTCTACATTGAACAGGTCCTCTATCTGCTCCATGTTGTCTGCAGTAAGAAGAGACCGAGTCCCATTTGGGTTCCGGCTTGTCTGATCCAAAAACAGAAGTGGATTTACGCCCCCTATGAGCTCTTTCCTCAGCAATCTTTTTCCCTTGTATGAGAACAAGCGTCTCTTGCCTAGTCCATCGCGAGTGTCTTGGTGTCTTACTTTTGCCATCTTCAGTCGGTTTTTGCTGTCCATCAGCTAACATTGCAGTGTTCTCATTCATCTCTGTTGAGCCTAATGTACTCATTGAAGTTTTGCTGCAGAGGTCAATCAAGAAGACAATATAAAGATCTTTGTGGATAGTCTATACATTACTTGCTGTTTTTTTACCAAGTTGATTGGTGATTGACTTCCAAAGAAAGGCATGTATTCTTTCTTTAGGCATTCAATCTTAAAGGCTTTCTTAATTTTTCAGATTTTCTTTAAGTACATTTATGCTGTCTAATTGCAAATACCCAACTATACAGCTTTGCTTGATTCTGTCATTGAAGTTGTTGCCATTTCTGAAAAGGGAGAGTGACCAAATACTAGTGCTCTATTTATTGCCTAAACGTTTAAGGCATCTATTTAAAAGGTGTGTTGACCCTTTACCCTGGGTTACTAAAATTTACAAGTAACTGATGCTACTAAATACATTATAAGTTTACCTAATAAAGTGGGATTGTTATAACCGAAGACACTTCCCTTATGTGACTGAAAATATTTTTCAAAAGATTAATAATGTTACCCCCTCTGTCCAATATCCTTGCCACCTTTTACTTCTCAAAATTGAAACTGCATGAACTTTGACCAACATTAGTCTAATAGCGATAAGTAGTTTTAGACAATGGGAGTAACAAATTGTATAGCGTTTTCTCTCATTGGTATAGCTTTGAAAAATCCATCTTCTTTCATTAGAACCAAATTAGAACAGTGGTTTATTTGTTTTAAACTAAGAACCGATCATAGAATTTTGATGTTTTTACTCAGCTAGCTATATACAAAATTGTATTGAGTGCAAAAATGAAAGTGAGTTAAGTGAGTGAATATGGTACCACATCGGCTGAGGCAAAGGGAGACAACGAGGTGGAGTAATATAAAACAAAAGGAGGGACCAGCTTTATACATGTTTATCTAGACGGGGTCAATGAGTGATCATTAAGGTCGATGGCCTAGGTTGATGACCTCCATTGCACACTTTGGTGGGGGCGCATGCCTAAAGTCAGCCCAAGTTGCTGAGCCTACGTCATAAATCTTTGGGCCTACTAATTCGACTTATATATGGCCTCGGTTCCTTAATTTGGGCCTCATCTATAAGTTTGTGACATGTTAAAAGATTGAATGACGTTAAAATTGTTTTATTACTAAGAGTTTCTATGTGTAACCAATCTATCATATGTAGTGACACTTAAAATGAGATATCAAATAGCGTCCCTTGTAAAATTGAAAGTGACACATTTAATTGTAAATAAATGTGAAATGCATTAGTCTAAAATGGAAAATTAGACTGCTCAAAAAAAAGAATCAAAAGAGAATTTACTGTAACTCGATTGATGAAAATAAAATCTATTTTAACCCTATTGATATCTACTTTTACTTAGATTGATATAAAAGAAAATCTACTTCAATTCGATTGATCTTATCTTCTATCGATGTATCTTTAGGCACAATCATTTTCAATTCGATTATCAAAAGAAGGATTTACTTTTAACTCGATTGATTAAAAAAAATCTACTTCAACTCGATTGATCAAAAAACGGATCTACTTTAACTATTAATTAAAGAAAAATCTACTTTAATTCATTGATCAAAAGAAAAATTTACTTCAATCGATATGTCTTTAGAGACGACCATACATAAAATAAAAATTACACTTAAAAATGTGGAAAAGCAAAAGAAGGGAATTCGGCCATATTAAAATTACCTTATGAAAAAATTCGTTTGATATCTAAAAGTTGCTCAGCAACAGCCGGGCAAGCGAGAAATGTTGAGGTATAGTCGGATCTAAGCGTTGGTCACATGGCAGCGGTGAAGGGAGAACCCTATTGGTAGAAAATAAACCACAATCCCTTTAGGTTTATCCTATATTAGAAAGAAGAACTAGAGAAAAAAACAACATATATAGTGGTGATTTGAGTCTTCATCGCCGTAATAATTTTAAAAAAAATCAACATTAATTATTTATTTTAAAATATCTTAATAAAGTTGAGTAAGTTGGTCATTATATTTGAAATGCCTACTTTAATGTTACGTGTTAAATAATGTGACACATTAAAAAAGAGTCAATATAATTATACGATGTGTCAAAATAACATAACACGTCTATTTAAATCAAACGTTAATAAATCAATTAAAAATTATCATATCAGTTCAATCTAATTAGTCAAAAGAAAAAAACTATTCTCATAACAACTCTTCCTTCTTATATATAACTATAAACATAAATTCATCACACCACATAATAGATACTCCTGCTAAAATTTCTTACAAGAAACCAAAAAAGCAAATAAAAATTCGTATCAACACCATAGATTCAAGATCAATCTCAGAACAATTCTTTTCGTTTATATTCTTAAGTATTAAAATTGTACGCCAAATCAATCATATAACATGATTTTTTTATTATATTATTTGTCCAACAATAATCCTCCACAGTTGATTTGACACAATGATTAAAATTTAAGAAGCAGTAAATGATAATTGTAATTTTATCAAATAACCCTTATTAAATTTAAGTCATTTAAATATTAAAAAATAAATAATGTTTAATAATAAGGATAAAATAAATATAACATGATAAATTATTCATTAGTCTTATAAACTAGACAAATATTATTAGACATCTTAAAATAGTACGATAGACAAGTAAATATAGACGGAGGGAGTACTTTTAACTCTTGTTAATTTAATTACTACTAATGTATTTTAACTAACTACTAGTAAAATTTAACACGATTATAATATCTAGTCCCCCTACACTTCGCGGGCATCTTCGAAACTTTGAACTTTGTGGAAAGCGAAAGCACTGCAAACACTACACTGAGAAGAGGAGGGAAAAAAATGTGGGAAGAAGAAGCAAAGGGTATAAGAAGGGACGAAGAAGAAGCGCTGTTGGATCTGATTGAGCAACGTACTAAGAATGTTGAAAAAATTGGAAGAGCAATCGCTTATTATACTTGCGAGGTTTATCTTCTTTCAGACCCTAATCAAGTTTTTTTTTAATGATTTAATGTCATGTTTTTTCGATTTTAGTAATGGGTGGAAGTTTAAAGCTTTAAAGTTTCTTACTTGGCGGAGTATGTAGAGAAGGGACTGCTTTGTTTGTTCCATTTTTATATTTTTTGGATTTCCCCTCTTTTTGTTTTTGCTTGAATGATGAACTTTACTGTTTTGTCTGTGGGTATGTTTAAAGGTTAATTCTTGATAATTTGGTGGTGAAGTCTTAGTTTAAATGGAAAGAACCAGAGTTTTAGTTTATGGGTCATTTTGGTTACTGGGTTTTGACATATTAAACACAAATAGTGGTTTTGAGCCAAAGTTATTGTTTTCTACCGAACCCCTAAAAGGGTTTTTAATCTCCAAAATCAATGTTTCATCTCACAAACCTTCAAATTTCTGTTGCTATGAGGTTTTTTAGAATAGTGAACTTCAATGTGTCTGTGTTATTGGGGGCTTTCAGTTGTGTGGAGTGTGGTGTGTATATGTATGTACATGTACAGGAAGTGTCTACCCTACTATACCGTTCTTGATAAGCCCTTGATTAAGGGTGTGTTCAGTACAAAGGGAAATATTTCATTTGTATGTAATCTAGACAAATGCAATGTGAGGTGGGGGTTAGGGGTTAAGGGTGGTGAGGATGGGGCTACGGGGTGGGGTAAAGATGAGGTGTGTTGGAGGGTGGGGAGGACACAACTAATGTCGAATGCCACATGTGGAACTTGTTTTCCCTACATAAGAAGGGTATAAGAAGGGATGAAGAAGAAGCGGTGGTGGATCTCATTCAGCAACGTAGTAAGAATGTCGAAAAAAATTGGGAGAGCAATTGCTTATTATACTTGCAAGGTTTATCTTCTTTGGGACCCTAATCAAGTTTTTTGTTAATGATTTAATGTCCTTTTTCAGTTTTAATAATGGGTGAAAGTTTAAAGCTTTAAAGATCCTTACTTGGTGGGGTATGGAGAGAGGGGACCGCTTTTTTTGCCTCATTTTTTTTTTAAATTTCCCCTCTTTTTGTTTTTGCTTGAATGATGAACTTCACTCTTTTGTATGCGGGTATATTTAAAGGATGATTCTTGAGAATTTGGTGTTAAAGTCTTAGTTTAAATGGAAAGAACCTGAATTTTAGTTTATGAGTCATTTTGGTTACTAGGTTTTGACATATTAAATGAATTTTTTTAAGACAAATAGAGGGTAGGAGCCAAAGCTATTGGTTTCTATCAAACCCCAAGGATGGTTTCAATCTCCAAAATCAATGCTTTATCCCACAAGCCTTCAAATTTCTGTTTCTTTGAGGTTTTTTAGTTTTATCATGGATTTTTTACTGTCTAAAGTTTATATTGTTGTCCAAGATTCTGTATTTTGTGTTTATGTCTGATGGAGTGAGGAGATTATAGTTTCTCTATTTGGTGATCATCCTATTAGGAGTTGTTATAATCCTGGAAAATTGTAATGTGCCCCTGGAGAAAAAAAGATTCAATTTTTCTTTTGATGAAGGAAAAAAGAATCAATTTTTCTATTGTGGGGGTTTGCTTGAATTTTGATATATTTTTATCATGGATAATTTATTGTCTTAAGTTCATATTTTTATCCAAGATTCTATTTTTGGTGATCATGTCTTGTTGTTAATTACTTACTATTTTCTTTCTATGATGGAGTGAGGATGTTTAAGTTTCTTTATTTTGGTGATCATCCTCTTAGGAGTTGTTGCAATACTGGAAAAAAAAATTCAGTTTTTTTTTTATGAAAGGAAACAAGAATCAATTTTTCTATTGTGGGGGTTTGCTTGAATTTTGATATATTTTATCATGGATAATTTATTGTCTTAAGTTCTATATTTTTATCCAAGATTCTATTTTGGTGATCATCCTCTTAGGAGTTGTTGCAATACTGGAAAAAAAAATTCAGTTTTTTTTTTATGAAAGGAAACAAGAATCAATTTTTCTATTGTGGGGTTGTCTACCTTACTATACCATTCTGATAAGCCCTTGGATTTAGGGTGTGTTTGGTACGAAGGGAAATGTTTTCTTGGAAAATAAGTGGGTTTATTACTTATTTTCTTGCGTTCTCACGAGGGGATATCTGTTGAATGTAGGCTTTTACCTGGCAGATGATTCATATCTAATTTAATATATAATTGGAATAGTGTGGGTTCTTTCTCTTACTTTGGGACCATAACTAATATTTCAATCCCCCCTCCCCCCCATTGGAATGAGTTACAGCTTGAACAAAAAGAGAAGAACTTAGAGGAGGCACAACAGCAACTTGCTCGCCTCCGGGCCCAGGCCATTGTGGCAACATCCACAAGCTATCATGGGAATGACTTGAATCTAGTGAAAGTCGAAAGACGATCCATGAGTCCTATCCAGATAAGTGATGATTCTTCTGAAAGCCTCTCTGAGTGTGAACCTCAACCTGACAAAGACAACACTGTGCCACTTCAGAAATCTTCAACACTTGATAAAAAATTAGCAAGACCTTTTCAGAAAAACAATGATGATTCCGGAAAGCCTCCCCGAGCAAAACCACTACTTATCATTCCAGACATGAAACCAAAGGGTTCTCTGCATTTGAAGATGGAAGAATCTAGTCCCACCCCATGTTTTTCTGACTCTTGTGCTGGAGGCTCAGTTTTTTCTTTTCGTAACACTCGTATCGTAAGGTCAAAAGCAGATAAGAGCGTAAAAACCCCTCCTGACACCGGAGCTGCTGATATTGAACATAAAGGAACAAAACGGAAGTCTGGTAATACTATATTTGTTACATCTGATCTATTGATACTAGCATGTTCTAACATGCACTCTGACATACTATGCAAATGCTTTTTCATATAAAATTACCATCTGACGAGCTTGTTTGTCATCTTCGCTTTGTGAATATAGAACAAATAGAGCATAAAGAGCTGATTCCATTGATAGGTAGATCCTCTTCAGCAAGCAAGCTACAATGCCAAACAACCAGTGTCATACCTAGTCAACACACGCGAAAGCTGAGAAATATTGTCTTGTGCCCTACTAATGATCAACTTTTTGCGAGCAGGTAGATTAGAAGTTTATCCACTCTTTGTAGATGACAATTGTGATTGTGGATGCATTTTGTTTATTGCTTCTAGATCTTTAATGAATTATGGATGGACCAACTGTAGAGCAGAGCTTGTCCCTTCTCTCTCTCTCTCTCTTTTATATATATATATGTATAGAACAGCCTGTTAGTGTTTCTCATACAATTTTCAACTTTCAGTCTCACTCAGAGTTCCTTAACATGCAGTGCGCTGGATGGGGTTGTCAACTTGTGGCAGGTGCAGGACAGGGGGTATGCCAAATTTCTAACATCCAATTACTAGAGCTGCATCTGTATCTTTTTCTGCCACTTAATAAGCAATAGCTTTAAAAATGTTAATTTGTCTTCCCTTTGCATCACTAAATACTTCTATTTTGATGCTGCGTCGCTTTGATATTCAGGTCAAGTGCCAATCTTCTCAGTAGCACTGATTGCTTTACCCACAAGTGTAAAAGATGGCCAGAAGACGTAGCCTGGCATCCAGAAGGAAGCAGCCTTTTTTCTGTGTACCGCGCTGATGAGGGGGATTCACAAATTTCAATATTGAATCTTAACAAGAGAAAAGAGGTATTTCTAGGAAATTATGAAGTTATATGGCAATTATCATCACTGTAAAATCTGCATGATTGAAAAAGCCTGTGTGCATGGGCATGACATATGATAAAATCCTGTTTCACTTCTAATCTTAATCTATATGCATAGGGTGGTGTATGAGAATGTATTTTCTAATGGTTTAATAGATGAAAGGATAAAAAAAAGACTCAGAACAAAAATTTCGTTGAGTGAGAGCTTGTAGGATAAACAAAAAATTTGTTTATGGTTTTTGGAAATTTTCATCTCCTCTGTGTGTATGAGGGTACTGGCCTAATTTGTGGTATTCACTTTACTGTTCTACATCAAAAATTGAGGACCCTCGTACTTTCCTCCCTCATTAACGTAATTTCTTTATCTAGAGGCACCAACACATAGAGAGAGATGGAGGGGGGTGAGGGGAGGGGGGAGCATTGTTTTGTTGCTCGTCACTTATGATGTTCTTGGTTATGTAATCTATGCTAATTGGGGCTAGTTTTCTTTTGCTGATTGATGATTATTCATTCACCTGTGATTAATAAGGCCAACAACATAGAATAACTACCTAATCTCCTTCTTATGTCCAAACCCATAATTTGATTTTATTTTCACTACTAACTATAAAATCCTTGGGCTACACTTGTTAGCTGTTTTTGTTTCTCTGCTACACTCTATAATATTGATTATTGAATGCTCAATGAGTGTGTACAGCTCTTAAAACATTTTTAGATGCTCACTTTATAATATTTCATGGAATCTCATAAAGTGAAATAAAAGAAATTCGGAAGGAGATAATTGGCTAAAGAGTTGGAGAGTGGTGTCAGTGCAGTATTAGTTCTTTTTTCCAGGTTGACTGACCAGTTTTGCCTTAAGGACGAGGTTTATTGTAGTAGAAACATGCGTAAATCATGATTTAAAATCTTAGGAAAGACTGGAGATTGCTGTAAGGTTCAGGGATCTATGTCTTTCTCTATTGCACAATTTTGCTTCAAAAAGAAACAATATTTAAAATTACAGAGGCAGCAGCATGTTTGATTTTTAGACCTTAGTTAAAAAGAAAACATCCAAGAGGGGTGTAATATGTCCTCTGTCAAGTATACAAGTACATAGAAAAACTCTGAGATCTCTTCCCTCTACTGAAGATAAAATACCATGGGAACCCTTCAGGTAAGACCGATACTTATATGCTGCTCCTCCAGCCTAAACTCTATGAACTATAGGTGCATTGTTTTTCTTGTCTTTGTCATTCTCACAATTACATACTTTCGAGCCTTACACTTGGTTATGTCACGTTTGATTGTATCTCTTGCATACTCTATGTCAAAAGACTTTTAGATTTTATCTGTCCTCTGTTCTCATATCCTGGTGTATTAACAGAATATGCAAGTGAATTTCTTGGAGGATAAGCCCCATGTCAAAGGGATCATTAACAACATAGAGTTCATGCCATGGAAGGAGGGCTGTTTTGTTACTGGTGGTTGTGATCATGCCGTTATCTTGTGGACCAATAAAGATGGAGAACATTCATGGAAGCCTAAAGAGTTGCATAGCCAGCATTCTTCTGCTGTAATGGGAGTTGCCGGTTTGCAGCATAAGAAAGTCGTGATGTCTGCTGGTGCCGATAAGCGTATATTTGGATTTGATTTACCAGCTCAGAGAATTGGTTACAAGCACCAAGTAGAAAGTAAATGCATGAGTGTTCTTCCTAATCCATGTGACTTGAATCTATTTATGATTCAGACAGGGTAAGTTACCATCATGGTCATTGTATGAACATGTTCATTATGTGCATATTATATTCTTTATTTCCATTATGTGCATGTTTCATTATGTAGATATTTCTTTTACATAGTAATGGGTTTTCTTGCTATTTCCCATTCACTTGTCCTCCAAAGCACACAATGTGTTGTATTTTTGCGCATGTGCAATGTCAGATATGATAGGGAATTGCACAACTTGTAACTTTATTCTATAGCACTGGCTTAGTGCAAGGTTACCATCTACATTTTTTTGTGTGTACTGGTTCTTTTAAGAAAAAGATGATAAACTAGACCTAAAATCACGTGGGAGAAATTTGTCAGAAAAGAGCTACAGTCTCTCAGACTCCACAGGAACTTAGCTAAGGATATAAACGATGGAAGTGAAAGATCCTCTGATCAGGGATATTAACTAGTTGGGATTAAAGTTTAGTTTTATTGGTACACTTACGTTTGGGCTGGTGTTTGGCAAGAATCTTTAGTTTGTTTAAATATTATTTGCTAGTAGAAAATGTAAAGAACCTTTTATATTGAAAATGTAGATAGCACTAATTTCTCTTTACAAATTATGCCATTAACAGAACGGGTACAAAATGAGTGAAATGGATATTGAGGATTCACATAGAAAACCTCAAATAGTGTATGGGATTGAGGCTTAGTTGTCGTAGTGTAAAGCCTGTTTTATTCTTTGAACAATTTTCTCATTATGTTACAAGTCTGATTTGAATTATTATCTTAAAAGCATATATAATTTGATCATGAAAATTTAAATAAGCTGATAGATTATCATTTTGCTTTCTCTAATCCACTGCAGGACCTTAGAGAAGCAGCTTCGCTTGTTTGACTTTAGGTCAAGGGAAGCAGAGACCCATTCCTTCGGGTGGAAACAAGAAAGCAGTGACTCACACTCGGCTCTTATAAATCAGGCTTGGTCACCTGATGGTTTGTACATTACATCTGGCTCAGTTGATCCTGCCATTCACATATTTGATATACGGTACAATTCTCACGAACCTTGCCTGTCCATTAGAGCTCATAATAGGCAAGTCTTCAAAGCTGTTTGGCACCATGCCCTCCCAGTCCTCATTTCTATATCATCTGACTTGAACATTGGATTTCATAAAATCGTTTGAGGTGCTTAAAAAGGTGTTTCCCTTTCCATTTTAGCACTCATTGTTCCCATTCATTTTTGGAAGTTATCACCGGAAAGAAATATTGAGGTCTTAGACCAAAGAAATTCACCGCGTGGACTCTGATACTGCAGGTGATTTAAAAAGAAATGTTAAGCAGTGTCATCTTTTCTTGTGCCTTACTCCGTATTCAGGCTGTTAAACGTGCTGTGTTTGAATGAATGCAGAAGCTGTGGAAAAAGGCTCTGTACCATTCAGAAACATTTTACCTCCTTTTTTAACTCATAGGTATGTCAGTTAGTTGACTGCTGTAGGCACCACCAAGGGAAACCAGACACTAAATAGAGTTGTTATTACCGTCTAGTCTTTGTGAATTAAGTTACCTGATATCTGTGGTAGCATGGAAAAGATGTTGTCCAGGACACAACCTTTATCCAAAAGTGTGTATTCTTCCAGAGAAAATTAGGATGACATTCGTCTTATTAGGTCAGATTCACATCTTATCTAACTATATCTGCTCCACTATGACCAGTAACGCCCATCTCTAGTGGTTTACCTGTTCGCTGACCAGAAACTAGACCTTTTTTTAAAAGAAAAATGGGGGTAGAGGAAGGGCAAATTTGCCCGGGTGGGGGGTGTATGATTACAATTGAACCCTCACTAACAAGGTGAAAGTTTAGGTAAAATTAATTGAGTTACTAAGATTTCCTTTGAAACTGAGCTTTGATATATCATATATCAAACTCAGAGATTTTAAATGTGTGGATCAGTTTTACATTTAATAATAATATTATGAGAAGGATGAAACATATTTTTTAGTATGTCAGTGCATAGATGAAATGAATGATGTATACACAAACTTAATAATAGATGCGTATTTACACAGATTTTATCATTTAATAATGATTAATTAATATTTAATTTTGCCTTATTAAATCATTTAACCATGATAAGTCTTGACAAAATTTAGCACTATATATATTGAATGTTGTGGCGTGGGCAAAATACTTTTACATTTGCTCTCAATAAACGAATGAACTTCCATGAAGAGGTCTAGGTCTACACCAATCACACTCTAAAAAGTAAAAAAGGCTTGCCAGACGTATAGATCACTTCATTAATTTGGCTTTTTGGTTGCTTTCTTTTAAAGAAAAGACTAATTTGATGGAGGATGATTGTGTTGTCTATTTATTTAATAATAATGACCTATGCATGTAAATTTGATAGTAATTTCAGGCGTGGGTTACATGGCCAACAACTCAATTTATTTGGTAAACTACTTTGTGCTTCCCATGATATGATTTAGTAAGTAGGAAAGGATATCTCTCAACATCGAAAAAGACTTGTCTTTATTAAGAAGTTGTCGTAGACATTCAACATATTAAAATAAAAGACTAAGAGGCATTGCGAGCGAGTATTCATTTCTTTATTCAAGTGGAAGGAGAGAAACGGCGGAAATAGTATTTTTACGAAAGTATAGTGGCAAACTCTTTAAACTTTCGTGGGTTGTTCCATTTAGACTTTGGTTATTAAACATCATTGACACTAATTAAATTAAAGAGAGTTAACAGGGAGACAGAGAAGTCGTCCAATTTCTATAATTACATGCAACAAAGTGGAGCAGATAAAAAAATGTTGCTTCCAAAAAGCTTAGCAATGCTTACATGTCAATTCACATGGTCTTTAATTTCTAAACTAATACAATAATTAATCAGCATGTAGGGTCACTTAGCGCTGGACATTTTCTAAACCAAGTATTATTTAGTTATTCAAATCCTCGAATTAAATTATGTTTCAATTGAATATCTCAACTCCTAATAAAGTGTTTCAATTAGACACTTTTAATTCAGATTTTGAAAGATCTTTTGCGTATATTTTCATTCGTGTATTAAGTAGTATAAAATATATCATTTTGTTTCAATTGTACACATTCGCTTTTACCGTAAACCTTACTTGAGATTGATGCGTATAATCAAAGGAGATAACATATTTTATATGGTTGATTTAACTATTTAATAGACGAATGAAAATACGTAATTTTTTTCTTCAAAATTTGATCAAAAGTGTCTAGTTGGAACAATATCTTATTAGGAGTTGAGGTGTTTAATCGAAATAAAGTCAGTTGATTCGAGTGTCTAAATGAAATATTTTGTGAAAAAAATGATTTCCGATGACTTAAACATGTAAGATAAGTAGATTGATTTAGAGGATTAGTATTTGTTTTGATAGGTAGAGAGAAGATAATAAAAAAATCTTTGGATATAAAATTTAAATCGAAAGTTTATTATTAGCTCTCTTTAATACAAAGGATGCAGTGTAATGTAGTGAACGAAGTCGTTTCTCTTTTAGTTAAATATTTTGATTTCGAACTCTGAATATGAAAAAAGTCTTTGATAGGAAGCGCTTCCCTTCTACATGACTCAAATACAAATTAGTTCGACTTCAATGCGGACATCAAATAGGAAATCATAAAAAAATGAGAAAATTGTTAGCTCTCTGAGTTTCATTTTGAAATTTCTAAGATGTAAAAAGAAAAAGAACTTTTCATTTCTTTTGATTTTTGGTTATCAAAAAGTAGGTGTGTGGAAAAACAAGCATTATCCAAGTATAAAAAAGAGAGATTTGTTATAAATGCGGACTTGGTTGTTGACCAAGAAAGAAGAAATGTGAGTCTTTGGGTTTTATATTCTTGTAGAGATCACTCAGATGTCGTATCTTAAACGAATGACACTTGCTTAATCTCTAAATCAAATTTGAAAACTCTGAAAGAATTAATCTCAAGAATCAAGAGGTTGTACATTGAATGAGCAATAAAAACTGTGAATCTAGGTGACTCCAAAATCAAGGAGACTCGAATCTGAGACTTCTAATTAAGGAGAAAGGAATACTTATCATTCTGTTATTTTTTATTATTTGCTATTTATTTTTCTTGGAACGAAACACTTAAAATAGTACTTTAATCTGGAAAAAACGCGCTTTTGTTTAAACGGAAAAACCGAGTCAGTGGGGTGGCCCACAAAGTTGTCTCATTTCTGCTAAAATCCATTGTTGAACAGCCGTTACAAATATATATTACACAGAAACACACAGCTAAGGAGAGAGAAATTGTATCTCTTTGAAAGCGGCGGCCATGGGAAATTGCTGCTCTGATGTTGCCGGTGGACAGTCGGCAGTCGGCGGTACCGGAGTTAACCAAGGAAATCAACCAAACGCCCCTAACGAAGCCGTCGATGCTTTCCTTAAGTCTCGCGGTTACCAAGGCCTCTACTCTCAGATCGAGGCACTTGGTTCTCTCTTTCTCTCTATTTACTTGGATTTTCATTCAATGTTGTTTAATTATACGCACATCTCATTTTCCTATGTTTTGTTAACCAGTGTAAAATTAATTTTGAGGAGTTAGTTTCTCGGTTTATGGTTGAATTTTATGATATACTTCGATGAGGAAATTCATTTGAGCAGATTGGACTACAAGTTAATAGGCATTGACTGTTAATTGACTTACTCAGTGATTTTGAATAGCTGGCTTGATTAGATATCCCTTTGGTGATTGAAATGGGCAGGGACTCCTTAAAATTGAACTTGTACTATAGCTAGTTAATTGTTGTGAGTGGCCGATTTTATGCTAGATTATAAATGGAGTTCGGATGCCTGTATATGTCGGAAAATACAAGTACAATTGAAAAGAAGAAAAAAAAAACAAACAAATTTGTTAGGGTGAGACAGAGACACATATATCTTGCTCTCTTTAAGCAGATTCAGGCCTACTACACTATATTTATCACTGTATTACCGGTTTGTGGTTGAATTGTGATAATTTGGGAAGAAAATTCCATTGACCAGATTGGACTCCAAGTTGAATTAGCATTTGACCGTTTGAAAACCTGACTTACTCCGTGATTACTGAGTCACTAGCTCGATCAGATGTCCCTCTCTAAATTTGATTGGTGATCAAAATGGACATGGACTCCTTACATCCGGACTCGTACTATAACTAGGTACTCATTGTGAGTGGTTAACTTTCATCTAGATTATTTCTGAAGGAAATTGAATGCCTGTCGATGTTGACCAAATACAAGTACAATTGGAAAAAAGAAGAAAAAGAACAAATGCTGTAGGTTGAAACATGGATATCATGCTCTCTTTGAAGATCCACACCTACTGCACTATATTTTCATTGGTATAGCATTAATTCTTCAACTTGTCTTTTCTAGGAACTAGGATACAACAACTAGTCCGATGTTGTTAGACTCAACAAACTCTGGACTAGTTGAGTCCAAAGCTCTTGTACAAAGACACTTTCTCCCACAAGTAATACCTGCTCTTTTATGGGAAATATGTTGGAGGCTTAGGCTTAGGCTTTTTCTTTCTCACAACTTTTTTGCATGATCACATCTCATTTTTGATGCACACTACTATACTTTTAAATTATCATCACGAGGCAGAAAAACTCTTGTTTATAAGCATAGAATTTTTTACATCGAATAAATAAGAGTTTAGTGGGGCAATGAAGTTGTAAGAACTTGAGATCATCCGTTAGTGGTTAATAACTTGACCTATTATTGGGTTAATCAGTGGGTAGATCATAAGATAGTTGATTCAAGATATACACGCGAAACTATGGCCACCTTCACCATTGTAGCCACTAAAAATAAAATTTCAAGCAATTTAATGTTATTATTTGTAATATTAACATAAAATATCTCCAACATTCTCCCACACATTTGATATTAATAAATAGAAGAAATTCTTAGAAAAGAAGTACAATTTAATGGCTATAGTTAAACAATAGCCGTAGCCGATACCAAGATAGGAGATCTCAACAAGTTGTTCCATATGATAACACTTTACGAGATGGAAATGCAAAGTACTTTTGTACCTATTCAACTCAAGTATAGAAAGGTAATATATGCTTTTACGGTTTTACCTAATACTTTCATGAATAGATAAATATCGCGGTGCGGTTATTTGTGAAGCAAGCTACCTCATCCAGTCCATATGTACACTGATAATGCAGGTTTTCATTTACTGTTTTATTATCAGCATCATATTGCAATTCTATCACTCTGTACAAACTGCTTACCGTTATAGTGGTTTGGTCATTATCTATAATTAATATCTGCTCTTCATTTTTCAGTATTGATTTTAAAAAACAATATATTTCTTTATTTGTACATTTGCAGTTGTCTCTATCTGCTACCAGCTTACGTGATCGTGATGTGCTTTCCAAGGTTTGTCGCTTATTTGACTTGTGTTAGATTATGTAAATGATAGTGCTGACTTTCGTATGTTGTGATATAGTAGAACAGGAGTATTGTATGAATCATCATCTTTGTTAGTGTTGAGTATGGTTGTTGATTTTTATTTATTCTTATAATGTTGTTGAATAAGAATTGCTTCATTTTTCCAATATGAGGGTACATTAAATGCTTGCTTCGGAATTTGTTTTATTTTTTCCGAACAGATGTTGTCAGTATTATTACATACATGAATGCTCCCAGAATATCATCTGTTCGGCCTAATGTCCTTCACTCTCCAAATCTAACTTCTAAAGACACCCTGTAAACCGTATAGTTTAATGGAACTATACTCGAGAAAATGGTACCGAGCATAGAGGTTATTTTCATGTAATACGAGTATTGCCTGCTAGCTTGGTATCATTTTTGTCTTTGATTTACTTTGTACAGGTAACTTCTAAAATATTGCTTGCTGGACAAGCCCATAATTAGTACACTGGGTTTTGGGTTTGCAGTCCTGGAATAAGTTGCACAGACTCTTCTTTTTGGTGTCATGCACCCGTGTCGACACAATATGGGTGTGTGTTGGAACCGAACTGGATATACAATCAATTTTGGGTACTTAGACCAAAATCGATTGAGAAATTCAAGACTCAACACAATGGTTGCTGAAATCAAAACAAAAGCTAGGGTGAAATCATAATTTAGGCATGTGTTTTTTATCATTAAAAGATATGTGTATTAAAGAAGTCTGCAGCCAGAAGGTGCTTTAACGATTCAACAACGCTGTTGAATGTACAATGAACTCAAGAAGTCTATTCTGGCCTCTATATCATTTGCAATAGCCATGTTACACCAAAAAACAATACGGAGATACATTTGTACTTAATAATAATTACAAATTCAAACTTGCTCTCAAAGATTCGTGCATGCCTTTCTTTCTAAATAGTTTAGGCATGTTTTATAATTTATTTTTATATATTTGAATTATTTTTAGGTGAATCCCCGCATCCATATCCATACCCCCGAATCTTAAAATTTGAATCATGAAGGATCCGACCTCTAGATCCACACCATATCGGACACCCACACCTGAGTTCGAGCAACTTAGGTCCTGGACCAGCTAGAACTTCTTGATTTCTGTGTGGTGTATGCTTTGAGCTCATCTTTGATGTTTGACTGGCTAAGTTGTATTTCGATATTGTGTTGAGTACTTTTTAATATTTAAAAGGACTAACGTCCACCTATCTAAGAAGTATAGTCATCTAAGCATCACTCATAGTTCTCTGGAAACTATTTCTTTGGACTTTGGAAATATTTTAGTTTTATAAATTACGAATTCTCTTTTATCCCTTTGTTTTTGATAAATGGTATTTTTAAAGATGTACGAATTATGCCTTGTCAATATGAGACATCTTGTATCTTCAAGCATCGTAGTCCATTTTTTAATATAAACATGTTACTAGCTTTGGACATTATAGACTCTAGGGGTTAAGTCATAAATATTGTGCAGTTTCATTGCTTTCTTGGTGCTGCATTTGTGAACAAAATTCCACGTACTTTCTTTAAAATATAAACATGCTACTAACTTAACTGAGGATTTGTTTGTTACAGAGTGACCCTATGGCAGTTCTCTATTCAAAAGAAAAAGATGGTTCATTGAAAGAGCTTACCCGTACTGAAGTAGTTCTGAACTCATTGAACCCAAAGTGGATTACAAAATATACTATGGCTTATTATTTTGAGACGGTGCAGAATTTGGTGTGAGTCTTGATACTCCATTTCCTGGTTTCTGTCAAGCAAATATAATTTATATGACAAGCTTGCCTTTATTTTAGGTTCCGTGTGTATGATATTGACACTCAATTTCATAATCAAGATGTCAAGGTATTTATGTTGCTCCCTCTAAAATTTTGTTAATTATAATTACAGTTTTTCCTTGTCTCGTTATTAATTGACCAGTGGTCATCATATCAGGCAAACCTGTAATTTTGAATTAGTTAATCCTCTCTCAGCTTTATTTTATAGGGGAACGCATCAAATTTGTGTCCATCCGAAATTGAGCAACTTTGCGCTTAGAATTTTGGTGTAATATTCCCCCCTCCCCCACTCCCACCCCATCATTAGAGAAAAGTCTAGTTTTTTTCCCTTGATCCTAACACCACTCCAACTTGAGGGTAATATTAATCATAGGCAAAAGTTGAAGAGTAAATTTGGTTCCTTTTTCTCGAAGAATTTTCACTTATGGAGTCTAAGATATTCATGTAGGAGCTTAGTTAATGGTAAGGGAAAATACAATATGATTTGCTAATGGCAAGGGTATGGAGGAACCAATGTGAACTAGATGGCAAAATTAAACATATCCAGATTGTTCAGAGGCAAATTTGAACTTTCCTCTATCTTTCATATGGTGGTGTCCAGCTCCTAACATAGTTTAAGAGAAGATAAAAAGATTTTTCACACATACCAAAAGCATCCTTAGAACTTATGATCTTAAATATGTATGCCATTTTTATGGTTATAAGAGCATGCCTTTTAAGAGTAAAATAGGAAGTTTAAAATTACAGAGTTGAATTTAGAAAAATTTCTTCTTGGGACAAACTAAAAAGAAAGGTATGTCATATAAAATGGAATAGAAAGCACAGCTACTTATGTTTTACATGAACCTTGAAGCTGATTATATGGAGAAGACTTAATAGAAGTGTGTTTTGAACAAATTAATGTGCTATATACCGAGTGCTTTACAATGTCCAAATCCATGTTTTTTTGTTGTGTACTCTGCTGCTTTATGTGCTTGATTTTGAAATCAACATGTCACCTCTGTTGTAAAACAGCTGCATATATAATGTGTACATGAATTTTTTGTGTGTGTACATGCACCTTCAATAACTTACACGAATGATGCATAAAACAACAGTTCATATTTGCAGCATGCTAAAAAATAATATTGGGTGTAATTGCTACAGATCATTGTAGCTTTGCCATGTTTTTCGCTTTTTACGGAAGGGTTCTAAACCTTCAAGCAATTCTCTTGATGTTGCTGTAACAGTTAGAACCTTGACTATTTCAAATGCACCTGACTTTAAGTTAGACATACCTCACCTGCCTTTAAGTTACGCGTGCCACTTTTTAGCTGTCTTCTTCTAATGGGACAATCCCATTCTTTTGGCATCTCTGGCGAGACGTGAAAAGTATCCCCTCCATTTTAATATTTGAAGAGAGCCTTTCTTTTTGAGATCCTTGCAGTTACTTGGTCTCAGAAGTCCTACATATGCTGTTTCTTAGGAGCTAGTTGTCTCCGTGATGTTTATCTTTCAAATTGAGTCACTGCTTCACGTACACCGTGGATAATATCAGTAGTTAAAACAAAAAGTAGATCAATAGTAAAAATAATTTGTACAACTAACCAGATTTATGGTTTCTTTTTCTCTTGCTCTCTATTACATTCTTATCTAATTGGAGCTAGGGAAAATAGTTTCACATCTTATATATGAGCAACAATCATACGCTTTGAATTTGCTTTTGTTTGCCTATTATGAAAAATTTCTAATGCATTGGCTTTGCAAATGCTATTAGAGAGTAGAAGATACAGTCATGTGTTATATATTTTGTTAAAAAAATGAAAGGATACATGGTATAAAATCATTTGCTTTTAATGCTCATTCAAGTGCTTTCACAGAAAAGATCCTACAAATCATGGAAGTTTATATAATTAATGCAGATGCTTAAACTGGAGGAGCAGGACTTTCTTGGTGAGGCAAGTTGCACATTGGCTCAGGTGTTCAACCTTTTTCAATCACAACTTCTCTTCCTGAAATTGTATTATCGCCATAGTTTTCTGCTAGAAGTGTAGACAACGGGTTTACTACTGAGGCTGTTATTGGTCTGCTGACTGAACAGTAAAGCGAAGACACATTTCACCTCGAGTCTTTTCTACTAATTACATTGTGTAGTACTTGGTTATGGATATGCGCTCCACTATTTAGTTGAGACCTGGAATAGATTGTTCACAGTCCAATTGTCAATACCTACTTGGGTGCAATAACATTTTTGCCACTATTCGATATGGATTTCCTGTTGGTGGGTAGCTACAGTGTTGTCTATCTGCTTTTCCATACGTACCATTTACTTTATCTTTCAAGAGGTTATGATTTTTTTTGTCGGATAAGGTTACAAGCACTGAACCTATTTATATTTCATCTCTGTGTAACTTGCTTAAAACTATTCTTTCCAACTATCTTTGGATTCAAGTAAGTTCTGGTGTTCGCCATTGTAGTTTATGTCATTGTAATTGTGAGGTTATTTTTTCTATTAATCAAGTGAATGTTTAAACATATTTCCTTGTAGATTGTCACAAAATCTGACAGATCCCTGACCATGGACCTAGTATGTGGCGAACAATTTTCTGGTCAAGCACATGCACGGAAGTTTGGCAAGCTTACAATTTTTGCTGAAGAAAGTATCAGCTCAAAGACTACTGTCGAGTTGAAATTAAGATGTTCAGAATTGGAATCGAAGGATTTGTTTTCAAAAAGTGTACAAAACTCATCAGAATAGTATCATCTATTATCATTTTGAATCATATGATGCTGAATTGCTGATATACATAATTCGTTTGCGTTTGGCAGGATCCATTTCTGGTGGTATCCAAAACTACTGAAAGTGGAATTGTCGTTCCAATTTGCAAAACAGAAGTGATGAAAAATGATCATTCACCCACCTGGAAACCGGTGTTCTTGAAAATTCAACAAATTGGAAGTAAGGTACAAGACAATGCTCTTTTGAGTGATCAATTTTCTATTTTCTTAAGATTGTGTTATGTTTCCTGGGATAATAGAACCCTGAAAAAGAGGGTAAAAAATCATTTAAAGATTTTTTTTCTTGGTCGGGAACTATATGATATTCCAAGTAAACAAGGTATCTTATGAGCTATAGGGGCAATGTGCTGACCTTTTTCTAGGCCTTTAGGCAAGTTCAGAAAACATTGCTAGTATTTTTCCATATGAATTCTGTGCAGAAGAATAAATTTATACTTCAAATGATGAAACTTCCAAACTCACTTTGGCAGATCTTTTGTTCTCGTACAGATAATATTTCACCCATCTATTCTCTAAAACTTGAAATCAGCTGTCTTTTTTTGACTTTATGATTGCATTAGCAATAGTATCTTGTGTTGATGGGATTCTGTAGATGTCTATGGGATCTTACCTTCTGTGCAATACAAACGAACTTTACTCATCAAAGTATCTAATTGTTTTGATTTTGAGGGGCTATACTTTATGAATTCATTTATTTTAAAAGATGTGATTGATAATATATTTTCCCCCGAGGAAATTATCATTTACTCTATATATGGTATGACGCATGGCACAATGTTTGTTCTTTGATTTTCCATTTAGAAACATTTGAATTGCTGCAGGAGAACCCATTAATTATAGAGTGTTATGACTTCAATAGCAATGGCAAGCATAGTTTAATTGGGTAAGCTTTTTCGTCTCTTCTTCGTTTCTGACCTCTACAGACTGGAAGCTGACAGTATTTCTACTGATTGTCAGAAAGATTCAGAAGTCACTATTAGATTTAGAAAAGTTGCATTCTGCGGGTACTGGTGCAAATCTTTTTATACCAACTGCTATGGGACCAAAACAAGAAAACAAGGTAAAGAGCTCGTTAATCAGACAACGCAACTGCCAGCTAAGCTTATTTAATCATGGCAATAACATGATTTCTATCCAGGTTCTAAAGAGTCAACTTTTCGTGGAAAGCTATTCTGAGAAAATACAGTATACATTCCTTGATTACTTGGCGTTTGGCTATGAACTCAACTTCATGGTGGCCATTGACTTTACTGGTATGTGGTTGTGCATTGATATGTACATATATATATAAACAGATTCTCGCAAGTCTTTCTTTGTTTCCATAGCTAAGCATGGAATTCATATTTGTCGTCTTCATCAATGGTACAATTTATTTAGACAAATTCCAACCTCTTCCTTATTAGGATGCACAGGGGGCTGGATTGAGACACCAAAGGTTGATGCCTCCGCTGTAAACTCTTATTATTATTATTACCATAAATAATAACAAGAGTTATAGATGTGAAACTCATCCTGATCTGCCCTAACCCCCCACCCCACCCCTCTTATGCAAAAGACCCTGGAAAATTATTACATTTTCTCAATAATTTTCTGTATCGTATGTATACACAGACGATTATTATTCAGAAAAAAATAAGTGGCCTATGCTCATCATTTATTTGGTGATGAACCTTTTGTGAATACACAGTTACCCTTATCTTTTAAAAAAGTTCTGTATGTTAATGTTTGTATTCTTGCTTAACTTGTATCTGAGCCTGTATTCTTTTTTGCCTGAATTATTGTTTGTCAGCTTCCAATGGAAATCCACGGCTCCCTGATTCATTACATTATATTGACCCTTCAGGACGACCAAATGCTTATCAGAGAGTAAGAAAATATTCTCAGTTGTAATGATATTTCCCTTCATATGAAGTAAGATACTTACCAGAATCCCAATTTCAGGCAATCCTGGATGTTGGGGAGGTATTGCAGTTTTATGATTCAGACAAACGTTTTCCTGCTTGGGGGTTTGGAGCACGGCCAATTGATGGCCCAGTTTCTCATTGCTTCAATTTAAACGGTAGCAGTACTTACTGTGAGGTACCTAAAGAGCCTTATGTACTTCTACATTTATGGACTTGCTTTAGCTTTCTGTATCTTATTCATTTTATAAATTTCAGCCCTTTTTTTAACTCTAGGTGGAAGGAATCCAGGGTATCATGATGGCATACATTAGTGCCCTTCATAATGTTTCACTTGCAGGTCCAACTTTATTTGGACCAGTGATTACTTCTGCTGCACATATAGCAAGTCAGTCTTTGACGAACAGTGAGCGGAAGTATTTCGTTTTGTTAATTATCACGGTACATTTCATTTTCTATGTTATATATCTTCCTCCGTTTTCCTGGTGAGTATTTTTTTTTTTTACCTTTCAAGTGAAATGCTAACCATCATCTGTTATCGTCTTGAGTTATACCAGTCAGAGTTATAGTTCATAGATCCTTTCACGGTCATATGTCTGCATTCCAATGAATAAATTTCACTGGAATGCATAAAATGTAGAGAAGCTTGAAACTTCAACTTTTGTTGGAAATCAAACTCTATCTAATTTGAGTTGGGGTTAATCCATTGAGGACGTTTTGTTTTTATAACTGAATGTCCTATGTCTTCCTGTTCTGATTATATTATAGAAAAATTCCAGGATGGCGTAATAACAGATCTCCAAGAAACAAAGGACGCTCTTGTTCAAGCAGCGGATTTGCCATTGTCAATTCTAATTGTTGGGGTTGGAGGTGCAGACTTTAAGGAAATGGAGGTATGCAAGTGCAACAACTTGTTTCCTCAGCAAGCATTGCGTTTTATGTCATCCATTTTACATTAACTGTATTGTGGATTCGTTTTTACAGATATTGGATGCTGATAAAGGAGAGAGGCTAGAATCTACAACTGGACGAGTTGCTGTTCGTGATATAGTACAATTTGTTCCCCTCCGTGATGTACAAAGTAGGTCATATTATAAATTTCTCGGTGAATAGAATAGGATAATCAAACAAAACATTCTTTTAAGAGCTTTCAGAAAATTATGCATCTGTTTGATGTGATGCCTTTTCTTCGATTCGCAGATGGAGATGTCTCAGTCGTTCAATCGCTTTTAGCAGAATTACCTTCTCAATTGTTGGAATACATGCGGTTCAGAAAGATACAGCCGACTTTGTGATCGATCATACAAGACTTGTACATATAAATGTCCATCTCTCTAGACTAAAATTTTTCTTCATGTTGCCCAGAAGATTAAGCTGATATCTTTCATCAGCATAGTCTTGTAATTGATTTTGTTGATAAAAAAACGTAAGTCCGTTGCTCTTTATACTTGCAAATTCCAATCTCCTTTCTGTTACAGTTACCTTCCAGTTGTCCGTTATCCGTTGTAACTGTCATGTTTAAGGCTGTAAGCAGAACTTAAACATTCTCTTGGTTAAACTATTGTTTTTTCATTATTATTTTTTTCTACCATTAACTAATACACTACTAAATCAAATTGAAAATTTGGGAATTTTTTCTCTCTTCTTCAAATTCACTAAGCTAATGCAACCATATACTCCCTCCCTTCCAAATTAAATAAGTAATGATGTTTTTTTTAATTAGAAAAATGACACGTTTTTAAAATTTCAAAAGAACTCAACATGACTTTTTTTTTTATCCCTTTAGAAAAATTTTATAGCCACAAATGTTAGTGCTTGTTTAAAATTGCATGTTACTGTTAATAATGTCTTAGCTTAAAAATGTGTCTGTGAGTAACGAATTAATATAATGTATTTGGCAGTAAATTTGGTAGTAACATTATATGTCTATTTAATTCATCCGATTTTCGTCTTTTTGCCATTGATTTTTTTTTTAGTAAAATAATACTTAAAACGTTACTGCCAAATAAGTTCATTCTAATTTTGTAAAATTTGAAAGAAAAAAAAACGTATCAAAAATTTGAACAAATACTTAAAAATATTTTTTATTTTACTCAAACTATACAAAAGTATTTAAAATAAGTACTCAATTCAAACACGGTCTAAGTCATCCACATATTATGACCACAAGTTTTTCAGAAAATATTCCATTTTGCTTATTAAAGTCAAATTGCTCCATATAAATCGAAATGTAATGAGTATATATTCTGATGCCGCATATGAAATAAAAACAAAAGAAGAAAGCAGACAAAGTTGAATATTGTACTAGTCTCCAAAACAAAAAAAAATAAAGTTGGACCGTATAGAGTATTTTTTTTTTCCACATAACTAGTATGTATTCACATTGTGTTCATAAAAAAGCTAGAGTAGTAAACCCTAATATCTTCTTCACTCCTCCTTCCTAGCTCACTCCTTTTTCTCACCTCATTTACTAATTTTTAGTAATATAGCTGGCTGCTAGCTAAGCTCTTGTTTGAATGTTTTTGTTAGATCGAAGAGATGAAAAGATCAGGCTCTAATAATGAAAGAGAAGAAAAAGACACTAGTAATATATTCCCAATATACTCATCAGCTCGGTCTCAACAAGACATGTCTGCTATGGTTTCTGCACTCTCTCAAGTCATTGGTAACTCTTCTTCTTCTGCTGGTGGTGATTCCTCCGTGGACGCCGTGCATGTTAATCCACTAACCCTAATTCCACAATCTACTCAGCAAAATCAATCTCAATCGTCTATTCAAGATCAAGGTACATATATTATCTTCCATGTATAGCTTAAGGAGACCAACATGGGTAGTGGTGCACTGGTGGGAGTGCTTCACCCTTAACCAGAGGTCTTGGGTTCGAGCCCTGGTATGGAGAAAATCCAGTTGGGAGCGCCACCCCCGAATGGGCCTTGCAGTGTGCGATCCGAATTTAGTCGGAGCTCCAACGTGGGCTTTGAACACCGGGTGGGAAACCAAAAAAAAAAAGTATAGCTTAAGGAGAAAAAAGAACAAGATCTTATTTCTATGTGAATATTGTCTCATCTAAAAATTTAAGTTGTTCCAGAGAAGATATTTTTATTTACTTTAATATTTTTATTGCTTGGCCCCTCACGTGCAGACCTGATTATTTTTTATGAGTGAACCTAGAAGCTTGATGTTTATCATGTGAACTTTGTTATTTAAGGCCGGTTTAGATTAACTTTTGGCTTATGACTTATAAGCCAAAAGCCATAAGTTAATTATGATTTCTAATTTATGGCTTATTTTTAAGTGCTTATTATAAGCACTTTTTAACTTTACCCAAACACTTCAAAACTGCTTAATAGCACCTGAAATAAGTCAATCCAAACGGACACTTAATCTCATAATAATTTATGTACATAGGGAATTCAGAAAGAAGGCGGTATAGAGGAGTTCGTCAAAGACCATGGGGTAAATGGGCAGCAGAAATTCGGGACCCAAAAAAAGCAGCTAGGGTTTGGCTTGGTACTTTTGAAACAGCAGAAGGTGCAGCACTTGCTTATGATGAAGCTGCTCTTAGATTCAAAGGAAACAAAGCTAAACTCAATTTCCCTGAAAGAGTTCAAGGACAATTCCAATACTTTAATCAACATCAATTTACACCTGCCACGTCATCAAATAATACGTTTGAACAGAATTACCCTAATGTTCATCACTATGCTGATTTGTTACTTCGTAGTGACAATAATATTGATTTGAATTTCGATGCTTCACCAAGTACTTGTTATCAGTATTCATCATCAGGATCGTCTTTTGATATTTCGCAATCATCAGTGGAATTGCCAGTTTATGATGAGCAGCAACAAGTAAGTACTAATTATAATTATCAAGAAGATGAAGAAGAAGATTTTATGAAATATTCTGGGTCGCATTTTGGAAATTCTACTTCAAGTGGTGGACCTCAACATGATGAAAGCAATTGGGAAGAGTATAAGCAGGAAAAGTAACTTTCAATATGCATGACGATGGTATCAGAGCCAGCTAACAAATTAAAGGTCCTGGGTATGAACATCCATGTACGTGTTTGGACCATGAAAAAGGATCAGGCTTGCAAGTGATGAGTATTGCATTGTTGAGAATATAAGGAAATAAATAAGTATGTGTTGTCTCAGTCTATGATCTAATGGTATAAGCTTAATTTCAGAAGGGATAGAGACGTATCTTGTATTTTTTTTTTTATCACAAGGGAAATTCGCAGCCGCTACCCTTTGGGTGCGCACAGGGTAAAACTCCCGCTCCTATGCAATAGCGCTATCTTGTGGTTTTATTGTGGGGCTTTCAATTTTATTTTATTTTTTGTATTTCAGTTTATTGCTTGTTATGATTTATGAACTATATATTGGTGAAGTAATGGGAAAATATGAATTTTATGTGTTTTAAGGACTAAGTTTAATCTTCAATTATATCTTTACTCCTCCCTAATCTATGAAATATGTGTATAGCTAGGGATCGCTTGGTTCGAAAACAAATTATATTGAAATTATAATTTAAGATTATAAATATAATGATCAAGCATGATTTATTTCTTATTGTGTGTTTTGTTCATTTTATTAAAATGGTAGCTATATATACACGATCGATATTGATCGAACTCTGACAAGTTTACGATAACAATATTGGAGAGTCCGAGCAAAATGATGCCTAATTAATTCATTTAAGGAGCTATATATACATAGCGAGTAGAATTTTGATTATGTGTAGCTATAGCTAGCTAGCTGAACTAAGTTGGCTAGTAATTAATTAATTGCTTCTTTTGCATGGCAAGGGTAGGTAATTAATTAAGAAGAAGGGCCCACGCAAGTAATTAGTGTGGACTAATTAATGCCTAATTCCTTTCACTTAGACTATAGAAGTATAGTATTATATATGTGGAACGCCGCACTTTCACTTAAATCTTACTATTAATTAATTAATGCTAAATGTTGATGCTAAGTGAAGGGAATCTAGTCTTAAATTCTCTTGCAACTTTTTTTTTGAAATTAGATTATGAATGTGCGCAAGTACCTTTTACATAAAAATACTTTGCAAATACTTATTCAATTAAATTTTACTCATAGGAACTTTCCTAGTGTGAATGCTACGTACTTTGAACTTTTTCCAAGATTAAAATGTGTTAATATGAATACATATGTTTGATTACTAAAAATTCCTTGTCTTTCATTAAATTTAAACACTGAATAATTAAGAGTAATAATTTTCTCTGCATCTAAACATGTAAGGTAGGTACATCAATCTTTAAATGATCAATTAAAATGCTCTAAACACGGTATGATATTATTTAATTTAGACCAAATTCTCACAATTTTAAAAAAAATAGAAAACCTCACACCATCAAGAATAGCCAAGTAATTATCCAACACCTTACAAACAAGTTCTTTTTCTTTCTAGTTCCAATGTGAGATTTAATTCTCTCACTCTCCCAACAAAAATAACACTATACATAGTCTAAAATAATGTATATTAAATTTTGTATCTAGTTAAATAACGTATCAATGGACACATGAATTAAAACAGAGGAAGTACTAAGATCAAATTTTAGATGCCCTTAATGATGTTAAAATTAAGAAAGGATCTCATTGTCCAATTTTCGTAGGAAAAAATAATTCAAAAGCCATTTCTGCATTTTGAAAGAAAAAGTTGCCTTTTTTACTCCGAACACGGTATAATACTACTACTTTAGTTTCTATCCAAAAAGAGGAAAAGAACATGCTTCAGGCCTGAAATAAAAGACAGAAAAAACACTCTTTATTGTGAATCTAGTATAGTCCAAAATGAAACTCACCTTTTGACATGCATTTCCAAAAGTTGAAAGATAATGATCTAAGCTTCCCTTTTTTGCATGAAAACATGCATGGAATTGTCATCATGAAGCTTTATTCAAAAAACAATGTCTATATTTTAGTTAAAAAAAAAAAGCTAAGCTTAGATTAGAGTGAAAGTAAAGTGAATAATCGTAGTTGTGCAAATTCTCTGTATCTTATACTAATTAATTAGGTTTTTATATATAAAGATTAGAACAAATATGAAAAGGTTGAAAAAAAAAAGCAATTGAGAAGTCATAGATTTCGGCTTTCATCATGTGTATAATAGTGAGTGAATGAAACACATAAACCGACCGCCGCACAATGTTCATGAATCATCATTATTCATAACTTTAATTGACTTATGGGTGGGATGTTACCTAATTTATTTTACTAAAATTATACGATACCTTATGAAATAAATGTGTAACAATCATCCAAACAAAATTCAAAATTGTATTTTAACAATTGCTAATGTAGTAAGTAGAAGGTATATTCAGTGGTGCAATAGTGAGACTGATTCACCCTTAATCAGAAGTTTCGGGTTCGAGCCTGAATATAGAAAAAATCTTGTAGGGAGTAACCCCGCCCCCTCCCAAATAGGTCCTGCAATAAGAAATCTGCATTTAGTCGGAGCTCCAATGTGAATTTCAGACACCGATCGAAAAAACAAAAACAAAAAGTTCAAATCTAATT